TATAAGAGACAGTGACTCGCCACAGGCCTCCGGCAACTCCCAGCCCCTGGGGACACAGAACATGGGTTGAAATCCCCCCCAAAATCCAGAAATCCTCAACCAACCGATGGTGGGGACATTCCCCCAGGGACCAGACCAGAGCAAATCCTTTCTGGAGTCACCACCTGCTCCGGGCTGAAATCTCTGGATTTTGTGCTGTTACCTGCAAACGCAGATGCAGCCAGTGAAATTCAGTCTGAAATGCTGACGTGTTCTTCCCATGTTTTAGGCAAAGACTAAGCAGTCAAACGCAGATAATGACTTGAAGCAGCAGCTCTTCAAGTGCCAACTGGTGTTCTTTTTCAAAAAAAGCAACTGAAATCAAACTGAAAATAATTTGAAGCTGATTAAATACAGAAAACCACCATTTTTCCCTGTTCACCTTCTTGCTTTCCAATGATACACGTACTTGTCCACCCCAGCACCCGCCAGGGATCGGGGTTTCTTCCAGGGCAGCCTCTTACAGCCCACGTGGCTGTGAGGGGGTATGACCCCTCACACAAGCAGGAACTGCTGTGCTGGGCTTTGGACACCCCCAGCTCAGCACCTAATCTGGGCAACTCGCTGGGTAAAACAAGGGCTTTGTAACCCAAACTTCCCATTTTCCCAGCCAAGGCCAGTGTTAAGCAAGGCAGGCACGGGGCACTGCTTAGTCTAGCTCCCACTTTTGGTTTTTCCTTTTACCTTCTACCTTGTCTCAAACAAGCTTTGTTTTTTCCTTTAAATTAACCTGGAGTAGAGGCTTTTCTTTCACACACCGTGTCCCTGCTGAAGCTGCTCACTCAGCTCCACAGTCAGCCGAGACAGGCAAGAAAAAAGTTCTCAACCCACTGCATTTGGAACATGGGATGCAGTGAATCCTACCTGCAGCCCCCAAAATGGTCAGTGTCAACATCAATGCTGCTGTGTAAATGTAATGCCAATTACATCACTCAAACTACATCAAAACTGTACAAGTTGGTACTAAAATTAAAGAAAAACATTAATTTTCTTAATTTTTCTTAAGAAAACTTTCTCTCTGACCTCCAAAAAGCTTATTCGTTCCCTCTGTGTGTCCCCTAATGATGCTGTGATTTGTACTGACATCAGTTCTGATATAAGTTTTAGATGGAAATCCAGTAATCCCTCACTGAAGCAAACACCTAAATACTGTGGCTTCTCTTCACCCTCAGCCCATCAACCCACCTGCTTGGTATTGCCCTGATGACTAAGAAGTTTTTAATTAAGAAGTTCTAGTAATAGCAGATAATAACAGAGCAAAACCAGTTGGACTATAGAGCTGCGAAGGGCCGCAGCAGCGAGGGTAGGAGACGAGTGGGAAGCGAGGAAGGGAGCTGTCTGCTGAGCTTAGACTTGTCCAGCGTTTCCCTGAGGCCAAAGCCCCCAGACTCTGCTTCCCTTAGGTGTGCACGTAAGTAAATATTTGGGCTTGAAAATCTCCTACGTCCCTGTAGTTGTTGGGTTTCAAGGCCTTACCGGGTGTCAAAGCACAGGAAGCCGTCATGCTGTGTAAAAACAGGGAAGTGAGAGAACAACCGTGTGGCTCTAAAGGGTGACGGCAGCAAAGTCCGTTGGCAGATCTGCACAGGGGAAGGGCCGGGGGGGGTGGCAGCACATGGCGAGTGCAACACGAAAGGAAACATCCTGTGGAAGGGTTTGTGGAGCTGCTGATAAACCATCGGGATCCCGCGTTCTCACCCCGTGCTCATCTCCAAAGCATGGGGCTCGGGGAAGCAACAGTGCCTTCCACGCTCACTGCATGTCTGGCAGTTCAGATCACCTCTTTCCTATGTCTTTTCCATGGGTTTATGAACACCAGAATTACTTTTTCCTAATACATGAGCTACAATTTACCTAAAGATAAGCCCCACAAACTGCAGATCCACCGAAACAGAAAACACAAGGGACTGTAAAATTGTCACTGTGTAGGAAAATGACAAATTTATTAAGATCTAGATATTCACTCTGAGGCTACAGCAGAATAAATGCTGTTACAAACAAATAAGCACTAGGGTCTAACACTTTATACTGCTGCTAAACAGCTCTCTGCTCTCATAGGTTTGCATGTTTTAAAACATTTAATGTTCTTGAAGTAATTAATCAAGACGTCAGATGTCATTTTAATACAAATTCCACCAAAAAAAATGTACAATCAAATGCATCACCTGTTGCCACTGCAAGGTAAAAATTATTTAATAACATAACTGTGGGAAATCGTTTTAAAAAACATATTTGTTAAATAGTAAGATAAAACTTTAGCAGCATTTAAAAAATTTGAAAGTCTGAAGAATATGGTAATCTTAAATCCCGAAATGCAACAATCCGAGCTCCGATGCCTGTGTTGTGTAAAACGAAGGGATGGGAATTCCTTATTCCTCTGCCTGGGAGATGGCATGCCTGCATGGCGTAGGGACAGCGAGACAGACAAACGTTTGTACAGACATGGCTGTATTAAAAGGTTACGTCTCTCTTTCTGCATCCTTGTTCTAGTGCTGGTGGATTCCCTCTTTAACAAAAAAATGAGCTGAATTGTTTCAAAAAAATCTTCAGCTGCCCAGGCCTGCTCTGGGCAGCCTCCTCCTGCGAGAGTGCTGCACTGCCCCTCAGAAAAAAAAAAAACAGGGGCAAAGGCAGTGCAGAGCGCACTGCGAGCAGAGGCTGCGTCACTCCCTTCCTTGCGACTCCAAAAAGAGCCTGAATCACTACTTTTGCTCTTTAACCAAGAAAGGCATTTCCATGGAGCTCACGAGCTGGTTCTGAGCGATGCCAGCGATGGAATCTAGCTGAGGGCAGCTCTAAGGATGATGTAAAACCTGATCTGGATCCTGCACCTGAGCAAAGGTCAGCACAGCCCAGTGAAATCCTGTCTTCTAACTGACTCTGGACACAGTTTTCTCAAAACCTCATTCTGAGTAATTCAGGATCTATTAGGGAGACAATTACAGACTAACCATGAACACCTGCACCACCTGACAAATGAGCTCTGAATCTGCTCAGCATTCCTGCATGTATTGCCCTGAAAGCTCAACGCCTCTCCCAGCGTGGGTGCCATCCCTCTCCTGGGTAGCCGAGTGCCTCCCGGCACCTTCTTTCCCTTCACCACCAGAGCCTTTGGTTTCCCTCCCTACCTGCTGCCACTCACCAGGAGAATTCAGCTGTGATCACCTAACTGCTGCCCGCTGCAAGGTGGCTGCTGCTGAACGACTCCTATGCCAGCCCTGCAAAGCTTGTGCCACGGGGCAGGAGTGGCTGGGCTCGCTGCTGCCCTACCTGGGGACCAGAGGGGCCATCGCTGCTCAGAGACTGTCTCATTCCGCAGCCACTGACACTATTTGTGAGACTCCCGACAAGCTGCACACGCCACCTTTGCCTAAGGAGACTGTTCTACAGCGCGTAAGACAGCACCAAAGGTGCCTATTGCGACAGTAACGCTGCCTCCTTGGAAGCTCTTGTGCTGTTTGAGAGCTGTAACAACAGAAAGAGGAAAGGACGTTCGCTAGGAAGAACTGATCACCGGACGAGCCCCTGCACGACGGCGGCTGCGCAGAGCTGCCAGGCCGCTGCTGCCCCCGATGGGAAGCCCTTCTGCACAATAACGGCTTCACACTATGTGGAAATTAAAAAGTTCTCTAACTCCCTCCAACAGTGGCAGAGGAGACCCGTGGGGTTTTGCTCAGCGTTTCTGAAGCAGAGAACATCCAAGCAGGGCGATGTCCGGGGCTGGGAGTACTGGTGTGCACGTAACATCTGCAGCCACCGCGCTACAGAGTAATGACTTACTGAAAAAGCACTTAGAAGTAACTCAAGTATGAAAGGAGCTATATAAAATCAAATTCTGGTGTATAATTGAAAACCTGCTGTTCCTTGGCATGTTCTTAATAGTGCAAAACATTATATATGCTTTGCTTTTTTATTCTTGAAGCTGTAAATACTACCACCAGCTGTGATCACGGCTCTGCCCAGAATCTGCAATTTTGATTAAATAAATACCATGAGATTATAAAGCAATTGTGCACAACATCTTGTGATTAGAACAGGTCTGTCCCAAAATAACTCGCAGTTGCTCAAGGAGCTCTTGAGTCCCCCTGAGAATTCAGGGCAAATCCTCTCTCTTGACTTCAAATATGTAAGAAAAGAAGTAACTGATGGCATATGAGCTTATGTGGTGGGAGCGCAGGCAGCCAGGCGGCTGAAACGAGCAAGTAGTCCTAGGAAAATGAGAATAATTGGACCGTTGTGCAGGAGACTTTTGCAGGACAAACAGCAGTTGAGTTTTCCACCTTCTGGGAAAAGACTGAAAGACATTAAACCTGAGTGAGTTTGGTTTGTTCCCAAAGAGCCACGACTCCACCATCCAGCACTAAGAATAAGGCAGAAAGTGTGCAAATGAGAACCGAGCTCTGATTCCCCCACCCTGCGCTGCCGCTGCTGCGAGTGCCGGCGCTTGCTCGCTGCAGGGGAAGGGAGACGTAGAGCTCCGTTTTCCAAACATCACTGAAAACAGGGCAAAGTCCCTGCATTTGGGCTAACATCATCGGCTCAATGCTTTGAAATATGATGGTCAGTTAAGGGGAAAAAGAAGAACGAGGTACCGAGGAAGATGAGACTCTCAGGCAGCTCTCCAGCCGCAGAAACCCGTGCTGATTGTACTGACAGGACCTGGTGGTGCACGTGGTTTGTGTCTTTTCCCCCTCCCTGGGACTCTTGCACCAGGAAAACCAAGCTTAATATTTTTTCTTCTAAGTTTAGGAGCAACAGTTTGTTGTCCCTTGCAAAGACACACAGTGGAAAGGAAAGCAAGAGGAGGCCTGCTGCAGCCTCCTTTTCAAAGGCCTTGGTGTTTCTGCTGAACCTCAAATATATCCCCTACGAAGGACAGGGAAGAAAAATAAAAAATTAGAAAGTGTGTTAGCAAATGCTCCCATGCAAAAGTCTAAACTTTATTCACTTTTATTTATATATTTAACAATTCTAAAGTATTTACTTCTTGCTTTGACAAAAATGAAAAATATAGGAGCACTTTACTCTCTTTAGGAGAGAACGGTTATATATACAGCTATGGAGAGATACTGCTTCCTCCTTTACATACAAAGAAAAATAATATTAATAAAAAAAGTGCTTCATCGATCAAAAAAAGACTAAGAGCTGCAAGCATTTATTCACACTGTACATCACAGACCCCAAAAACCCGTATCATAACCTCTTGGCACCTGTCATTAGGAACTGCAGAATCTTAGACTTATTTTTGACTGTCTATTTGCACCACAAACCCACACAATGTTAGTGTGCAGAACTACACCATGTCCCCTAAAGTCACACCCCTACTCGCCCCCTCCGCGGGGAGTCGGAGATGGGAGCTGTGTGTTACCCTGTTCCTGCTCCAGGCGTCTCCACCTCACGCGGAACAGCAACGCCTACGGTTCTACTCCAGATACTCACTGCACTGGTTCACCAACAAATACTTCTAGATTACAACTCGACTGGAGAACCCGTCTTTATCTTTGCTTTTCCCTCCTGATGGTTTGAAAAACGTTTCCCAACCTGTACCGGGGAGATCCCAAGATGCTTCGTTCCAGAGCCCCCCGCCGTTAGGGCACAGGCTGCTCTGCCAAACCAACCTCCTCGACATTCTTTTTTGTCTTGCGAATCTTCAGCTTACGCTGCAGCAGTGTAACGATTCTTGCAAAGGGTGTGGGAAGTTCAAAGTCAAAAATAACATATCTTGACATTTCCCCATCAGACCTAACAAATATTCCGAGATGGTTTTCTCTGTGTGATACTCGCTTTGGATTATGTGATTCTGACATTCCAGGGAAGGGAAGCGCTCCTTTCCCAAGGTCTCTTTAGATTTTGAGCCTTTGTAGCTAGAACTCTCAAATACTCCAGCAGGATTCTTGAGAATATCACAAGAGAAGTTGGAACTTTCTCTAGGCAACACACTGCGAAGCAGGATCTACATTTCTTCCTTGCCAAACTGCACTAAGCAGGCTCTATCGAAAGGAAAAGGGGATGGGTACCTAACGCTCATTTAAAAACATATATTCAATAGCTTCACACTTTAATGAGGTGACTCTAAAAGCGACTCAGATTGGGACAGAAGGAAGAAGAGGAATCCATGATGTATTTCAGGTCTTTTTAAAATCCTCAGGCAGGTTTTTCCTATCTGGAGTATACTGAATACAGACTGAAAAAGGAGGAGACATCCCAGGAGTCTTACAGGCACCAGTGCACTCCTCATGGGCCGAGTGCAGCGAAAACACCAGCGGTGTCACGGCTGCTCTTTTGTTGGTCTGAATAGTCTCATTAAAGTGCGAGTCTGAACTACAGCACGGCGGCCTGTTTGAAGGAACCATGACAAGTGCACTGCTCCAAAAGTAGCTTCGCATTGAGTAAACCATCCTACAGACGGGGCAAGGATAGAAGTTGAAGGTCTTCTACTTTCCCACTGGGTTTTAAATAATGAATTGCATTTAGAGAACTTCCGGGAGGCGCCAGTGTAAAACCCATCCCAGCCCGGCAGCCTGTTCAGTGGCCCTCCGGCCTCCGGCCCACGAGCGTGCCCCTGCCTTAGCCAGCGCTGCCCAGACGTGGCCACTCGGGGCCCAGCGCCAGGGCTGGTGGCAACCAGCAAGCAGGCCCGGAGCCGCCGAGCGTGGAAATCCGCCACCGGTTCCCCCTTCATGCAGCGAGGATAACTAAGCCCACTCTAAGAACAGAGAGGGAGAGTGCTCTCTTGGGAAAGAGATTCCCATTTCTTCTAGCAGCAACAGGTTCCCAAACAGCAGTTTCTTGTTTGGAAGTAACAGGAGTGACTGAAAGAACTAGCACTGACGCTACAGGTATTCACGCTTTGCACACTGGCTGGACTGATTCCCCTCTTCTTTCCTCCACAAAGTCGTCTGTCTGCAACAGTTCAGCAGTGGGACAGTTAAATACAAAAGGGAAACCTGGTTCTGGCGCCAGCTCCCTTCCCACTTCCACAATCTTCCAGCAAACAAACATATATATATTATTATATATACACACACACACGCACACGCGTAGACACATACACACAGATAGGACAGAAAGGAAAGGGGAACAGCTGGAAAAGGAGAATCCCACAATCCAGCGGTACGTCCTTGAGGCCTGTCCTGCCGAGCAGTGTTCCACGCCCCAACCTCCAAAGTGCACGGCTCCCGCATCCTCCCAGCCTCAGCCCATCGAGAACCCGCCTGCACGGCGGCTCCCCCGCTGCTTCGAGGCTGGAACTTTTAATTTGATGTGGCAGTGATGGGTTTATCCAGTTCGAGATCAAGGCTGGAACTGCTGGGGTGCAAGCTGCTGTAGCACGATTTGCAGACTCTGCTGGGTTCAAAGAGCTGCTGACTGGGAACGGGCACCTTCTGGTTGCAGCAGCTGGAGCAGAACACATTTCCACAATTCCTTGCATCAGGAAGAGAGGAGAAATGGAAAAAAAATATTAGAAGCAGTTGGACAAAGTTATACATGTTCTAGAATTATATTATTCACAGTGTTGTGATGGGGCCAGCCCTGGAGACTGCAGTTGCTCCTCCCCAGGTACCAAGAGGCATGCAAAGACAACCCTCCAGTGTCTGCACCCTGGGCTACTCCTAAAGCTGAAGCAGAACTCTAGGGAAGCTCTAGGGAACAGGCACCAGAAAGGAGCACAGATCTTCTTGATACAGAATTGCAGCTCATTAAACGTCTCTGCAGTGACAACTCTTCTGTACAACACTGTTTCGTGTCAAACCAGAGGGAACTGACCCCCCCCATGGAACAGGGGTATGTGCTCTCCCACGGATGCAGGAGCTTGGGCATGCTGCCACTGTCACTGACGCCCTGGGGGCACGGGACTAAGACGGGGGGGGG